TAATGCATGTACCAAATTTGAATGAAATCTGTCCATGCATAACTGAGATCCGGGTCCGGAATGGTGAAAATGTGCGATTTCAATGCATTTTCGGCCATAAAGCGGCCGCCATTTGGCTATCGTTAATGAGATCATGAAACAAATGCACATACATATTTGTGACATGATGTACCTTGTGTGTGTGAAGTTTGAACTTGATCAATCCAAGCATGTCTCAGATACGGATCCAGAACTGAATTCTTTAAAACAAAATGGCCGCCAGTCGGCCATTTCGAACCCGATTCAAAAAAACAAAATGACGTGCATCAAGGTCCTATTATGTTTAATGTATGTACCAAATTTGAACAAAATCCGTCCATGCATAACTGAGATCCGGGTCCGGAATGGTGAAAATGTGCGATTTTGATGCATTTTCGGCCTTAAAATGGCCGCTATTCGGCTATCGTTAATCAGATCATGAAAAAAATGCATGTGCATATGTCCCATATAATGTGTGATGTACGAGTGAAGTTTGAACTTAATCGGTCCATGCATGTTCGAGATACAGGTGATCACGGACGGACGGACGGACTGACGCACACAGGGCAAAACATAAGTCCCCGTTTTCGGACTGCGTCCGAACGGGGACTAAAAAGTAAAAGTGGCCTTGAGTCTATTATATAGACACCACTTATAACTGTGACAACTTGCTGCAGTGCTCTTAGACTAATATTTTAGGATTTGTTGCTAAACTAATTTTATTGTTTTTTTGTTATGGTGATCACAATAATCAGTGGGAGATTTACTGCAGAAAAGAACAAATGGGAAAGCAATTTTAAAGGCAACTTACCATGCATTGACTGCAAGTCTCAACACATATAGAATTGGTTCAACAGTTAACTCACTTTATTGATATATTCATATTATAAATAAGACCTTTTAAAATAATAACTTTATCCTCTTCCATCAACAGGATGAAATCACATGTACTCAATATTGTAATTAGTTTTCATATATGCAAATTAGAAAAACCATAAATCACCAAA